ATATATATACATACAACTTACCCATTTATATTTATATCCTACAGTATGTATATATATATATATATATATATATATATATATATATATACATACATACTGTAGGATATAAATATAAATGGGTAAGTTGGTCTGGTGCTGAATTAGCTTTATGACTAGGAATAAAAAAGTTTTGAGTTAAATAATTAATCACTTGACCCATCATAGTAAAAGTGTGCTTACCTAATTGACAGTAGACACCAGTCCACCCTGGAATACAAGCACAAGTGTACCCTGAAACTGTATCTTGACATGTGGCACCATTCACGCAGAGGTTGTAAGCGCAAAAATCTGTGACTGTCAACAGAGTATAAGAATCATTATTTTATTGTTTGAATCCAACCTCATGATTTATAGATACTGTATGTTTTTAGGGTCATCTATAATTTCCAACATTTCTGAAAGAGTATAAAACATACTCTTTGGGGGGAGAGGCATATGTGTAGCCTTAAGATAAAATGATGATTTCAAAATTACACAAATCAATATTTTATTGTGTATTCTTTCAGGGGGAGGGATGGGGGGGGGGGGGGGGGCGACAAAAAAAAAAATCACAGAAAATAATATGTTTTGTACTCTTTTGAAAATATTGATCATTGGATAATGTTGTATTAGTATAGCTCATTTAAATAACATATTTAATTTGTTATTAAATCTGCAGGAGTGGATTTAATTGTTGTTGGTTATTAGTTAAGGTCATTGTTATCTTTATATGGCCAGAATATATGTACGGGTGGTTTTTTTTTAATTTATAAGGAGGTATGTTAACCTACATTGTGTGTATAGGTTATGAAAATCTTGTAAATTTGAGAAAATTGTTTTGGGTATAAAATACCAATACCATTATTTTACATGCAACTTTACAATTAATTAATATCATTGATTAATAATGATAATAAACTTATTTTTATACAGCGCAGAATGCTATAAACCTCTATGCGCTTTACATTAAAGCAAAAGCCGTAACAGAAGTTAAAAAAAAAAAGATGATTAAAACAGTGAGCGAAAGTCTTTTGCATCAAAACAAAAAACAGGATTATGCCTTCTTCACAATGGGTGCCTTGGTAACCAGATAAACATTGACAGGTGTAACCAGGTACTTGTTCAATGCAAGTAGCACCATTTTGACATGGGTTGGATTGGCATTCTTGGATTGCTACATAAAAGCAAGGTTCATGCACACCATTAGCAAAAAAACAATCTTATCAAGACTATAGCATTGCAGCTGATATTTTGACAATTTATTCATAAACAATGCACACACACACACATACACACCCCCCCCCCCACACACACCCACATCCACACCCACCCCCACACATGCATTACATAATCAAGACAATCTCAATGGTTCCTAGGCTGCTATTGCTACTTCCATTGACATTTGACCTATTTTACCTGTTCCGCAGTGGTTTCCCATGTATCCAGCAGCACATGTACAGGTGTAACTATTAAATAAATTATTGCAGGTGGCCCCATTCAAACACGGACCTGGTAAACACTCATCCACATCTGTAATAAAAGGTGTAGCTACTGGTAAAAAATATGTACCTATAGATGCTATTTGGGAAGACCATTGCTATTTAGTCTCACATGGGCTGTGACAGAAGCTGTAATTGTATAATATTTTTTTGGTTTCATATAATTCAATATTCATTATGTTTTGTATTGTTCCTATTTGTGTTGTTCACCTGAACAACTACACAAAAAAACTGGGGTGTAGTCACTGCATAGAGAGTATATCTCCAACCTGTGCTTGAATACCAAATAATCCACAGGGCGTTTATGTGTATAATTTTCCACCTTTAAATGATTCAAGGGATATGTTGTTTACCACACTTGTTCCCTGTATTAACCATCCTGTTTCACAATTCGCTTCTGGATATTTCATGACATATATACAAGTGTAACTACAGCCTCACAAAGAAGCCCATAGCATAGCATGGGCCTTTTTTCAGGGTAGTGCAGTATACACACTACATGAATTTCGTACAACTAGACCATTACCTACCTGATTCACAATTGGTTCCTGTATATCCCATGACACATGTACAGGTGTATCTATTAACTAGATTGTTACAGGTGGCTCCATTCTGACAAGGTCCTACTGAACATTCATCAATATCTGAAATAAAAATAAAAATGAGATATGAACTTTCTTTATTTAATATCATTAACGATATGTGGCAAAGACAAGCCAAACCAGTCACTCGTCGCAAATTGTGTTTCAGAGAAAATGGCCAAACCATGCTGGAACGTCAAATTTAAAAAAATCTATTTTATTGCACTAAACTAATCTTTACACATCTATACATCATTCTATGCTGTTATTTTCCCCATTTTCAATGCTAAAACAACACTTTTTAAGGATTTGATGATAGTTTCTGCATGAGAAATGCCTGAAATCATAAACTTTGAAGGCTGATTTCTCATATATTGTTCTTTAAACAGCTGTATGTTTAAGCACTTGTAACTTTCATTTTATAGCTATTATTTTACTCTCTGACACTGTATTAATAACTCAAAATCGATTTTTGCGACGAGTGACTGGTTTGGCTTGTCTTTGCCACATATAATACTAAACTTCATTTAGGTCGATTAAGTGCAAGGCCCAGTAACTTATACTATCTTGCAACTTTAAGTCACGGCTTAAGACCTATTTGTTTTCCCAATGCTATTCACATGTATTGCACCTTTGATCATATTTGGAATTGGCGCCATATAAAGTTGAGATATTATTATTATTATTATTATTATTATTATTATTATTATTACCTTGGTCATTGTAATAAAATAACATGGAATACATATTCAGTTCCTTTGGAGAGTTTACTTGGAAAATGTGCTGCACATTGGTATTTGATTCTACTAGGAACCTACTTACTTAGACAGACAACACGAATAACGTTGCTTATCCTAAGGAACAAAACAAGTGTCAACCTAGGTGTCTAGATTATTCAAAAACCATTCTTAGTTAAATATTACCTATTTCACAAAATGGTCCAATCCATCCAGGAACGCAAAGACATTGGAAGGAGCCAGGTCTGTTAAAACAGGTTGCACCATTGGAACAAGGAATTGTAGCGCATTCATTGATATCTAAAGGAGTTGAGATTCAAAAGTGATGCAGAAACAATTTACATGAACCTACAGGTGCAACCAGGTGTTGTGAAAAGTAAAGATGTGCCATAAAAAATGTCTTGTTTCCAAAAAAGAAATATGCTACATCAATGCCAATAATAAGTAAGTTGAGATAAAATGGGTGCGCCTAGACACTCAATAAAGGGGTTATGCTGAAAAAAAGGATGTAGAACCAATAATTTTCTAATTATATTTTCTTTCTGTAAAAGTGCTTTAAAGCCAAGACACTGTACAATGGTGATGCGCCCAAAAAGGAAGTGGTAAAAAAAAAATAGCTAAAGAAAGTAACAAGAAAAACGTGTGTTAACACAATGAGAAAATATATATAGTCAACAGTATTTAAAGCAGGTGCAAAATAGAAGTGATGTTTTGGACTACGACAAAATCAGTTTCCACCTTAAAAAATTGAGGTATAACAAAGACAAGCCACTGCAAAATATGTGCAACAAATATACTGAAGACACCAACAGGTCAAGTTGTCAAGAAAAGAGTGAAACTAAGCTATATAACCCAAAAAACAAAACAAAAAAACACAAATGACGTAATTAGGAGGTGGTTATCACATACAAGAGCAGATTACATATCATCCTATCGTGAAAGTTTGCTCAACATTAGCAATTAAAATTTTTCTTCCCAGCAGTGAGCAAAATATCTTTCATAAGTAATATTCTTTGTCTCTCATTCTCACAGTACACACACCGCCTTGGGCAAACAGCTTGCTCTAAGTCTCTTATTAATTGGAATGGCCAATCTTATCGGCCCACCCAGGATAGAGGCGGAGCTATAGGTAGTACTCTTATGTGATGATTAACAACAACCTAGGTGTAAGAATTTTTCTTATTGTATATGTACAAGCAGGCTGCCAAGCAAATGTCATGAAGTAATTGCCCTCTTTCCAGACTTTAGGATGCCATAAGATCTTTTGGTGCTGAAATCTGGAAAACCTTTAAAAATTCCTCAAAAATATTAAAAAGATGTTATCAGCTTCTAATTCAGTTTTTTTTTAATTTACAGATTTTTTAATACAAAAAGCCCTGTTAAATATTGTTGACTTTTTTAATTAGCTTCAGTAGACAAAGCATCTAAAATATGAAATTGTATTGTTGATAATTGTTTTAAAGAGAAAAAACTTTTTTGTTTTATTGCAATTAACTTTAACAGGATTAAGAAACTAAACTAAATCTATTATTGTCAATACTATTATCTTTCTTGAATACATAAACAATTAATGTAAAAATATCATGCACTTTTAAAATATTTGATACCTGTTTCACAATTGAAGCCAGTATACCCGGGTGTACAAGCACAGGTGTAAGCATTTACTAAATCAGTACAGGTGGCTCCATTCAAACAAGGTAATGCTGCACATTCATCAACATCTGTAGTTTGGAAGTATTATAAAGATTACACAAAGAAACAATAAACAAACATTCATCAACATCTGTAGTTTGGAAGTATTATAAAGATTACACAAAGAAACAATAAAAAATTACAAAAGAATTGACAAAACAATGGGGAAATTCTGGAATAATGCCATGCATTAATGGCATCAGTCCACAGGCATCCAAGCACAACGTAAAACTATTGTAAGGTACAACAAACATATTTAATAATAATATAACAATATGTTAGACTTATATGCCAACAAGGGCTCTAAGCGGTTCACATTATTACCCCTGGTCATTTCAAGCACATATGAAACACATACTCAGCTCCCTGGGGAGAATTCCATAAAGTTGCTGTCGCAATCAGTGCATTTTGTGTTTGAGCCTACCAGGTACCCACTTGTACTCCTGGGTGGACAGAGACAACTGTAGATAAAGTGCGTTAGCCTAAGGACACAAGCGTAATGCACAGCGAGGCATTGAATCTCCGACCTCAAGGTTGAGAAGTACAACTGCAACCACTGCACCTAACCGCTCCTATTTCAGATAACAGTTTGGTCTATCCAACAACATAAAATAAAGCAATTACTAAACTGAGTGGATACCTGACTAGCTAACTAGATCATTACCAACCAAATTCACAATTGGTTCCTGTATATCCCATGACGCATGTACAGAAGTAACTATTAACTAGATCATTACAGGTGGCTCCATTCTGACAGGGTGCTGCTGCACAATTATCAATATCTAAAAATAAACATTTAAATTACTGAACAATTGCTTTGGTTCATTTATGACATAGCATTATGTCAGTCATATAGTACAGCCAGTGGCATATATCCAGGAGCATTGGGGAGGCTGATGGGGGAAGCTGATGGGGGAACAGAGTTGAGGTGGTGCTTCATATTATTATTATGTGCTTCATATTATTTTTAATATTATTATTATTATTATTATTATTCTTATTATTATTCTTATTATTATTATTATTATTTTTATTATTTTTTTAAAAATTATTATTATGTCTTTGCCTTTATCATTGTTTCTCTGGTAGGCATCTTGTACAGGGACATGTTCCCATTTTTGCCTACCAGACTCATTTTGTTTTGAGTAAACTAAAATTATTAATTATGAATTATAATTGAGCGGATTTAGCTGGCAAACTAAGGTGATATCAGGTGATTTTTATGGAAATGAATATTGAGAGGATAGTTTTTTTTTCACCCCATCGTTACCCAGCTTTACCTACCTGTTTCACAATTGATTCCAGTATATCCCATGGCGCATGTACAGAAGTAACTATTAACTAGATTATTACAGGTGGCTCCATTCTGACAGGGTGCAACTGCACACTCATCAATATCTGAAATTGAAAATTAAAATTATAGTTGATACATTATAGTTGATACATTTTACACTATTGTTGTTAAAGACAACTAGAATCGCTAGAAAGGAAGATTAGGTATTTCTTTACCACACTGAATCCTTGTATTTACCTACCTGTCTCACAATTGGTTCCTGTATATCCCATGGGACATGTACAGGTGTAACTATTAACTAGATTATTACAGGTGGCTCCATTCAGACAGGGTGCAACTGCACATTCATCAATATCTAAGATTAAAAAATAAAATCATACTTGGTGTAATTATTACAACTCTTGCTTTTGAATGGTTTTTGTCCTCCTACATTTAATGAATATATCAAAATTATTGAAAGATGTGAGGGCAGACTTTTACATTGGAAAGTGAAAAGCAATACATTTCTAAATTCTGTTTTTGTATCTTTCCCTAAGCTATGGGAACAAGTACCACCTGTAATTCAAAATTCTTCATCAATCTCATCTTTTAAATCTGCTCTAAGTACTATATTTCATTATATTAGTTGTACTTTATTGTATTTTGTTTGTAATTTTTAGTTTAGTGCTTTTATATTTTTGTTTTTGTATAATTAAAAAACCTGATTGGTGTTCAGTTCATTTTTGTATAAGGTGGAGTGAGTGCAGTATCTGTTTGGGCTTGTGCCTATTCTCACTCCGGGCTTAAATTGTACTTGATGATTGCCAAATAAATATTATTATTATTATTATGCACAGTGATGAAAGTTTCTCTTTACAATTCTTAGTCCATGTGCCTAAATGGAAAAATAAATATATTTATCAAAACCACATTTCTAATCTTTGTTACCTATTTCACATAATGGTCCAGTCCATCCAGCAACACAAACACATTGAAAGGAACCAAGTGTATTAAAACAGTTTGCTGCATTCATACAAGGATTTGGAAGACATTCGTTGATATCTGAAGTAACAGGGATTTAAAAGTGTCAAAAAATTAAAAACTGAAAAAATGTGGATTGTTATCAATCCAGGTGCATGCAACTAAGTGTAGTGGACTGATAACATAAAAAGCCAGGTGCAGTCATGTGTAATGGAAAGACAGATGTGCCATCACAAACCATAGTGTATTGACAAAACAAACGTTTCTGGTGCACTAGTAATAAATGTTTTTGAAATGTTAATTAAAGTTCTTTTCAAACATGTATTAAAGCTAAACAACACCATATGTTGACTTGCACAAGAAAGAAATATTCAAAAGAAAGAAATAAATTATACATGAGCAAAACTAGATTGATTGGAAACAATCTGTTTTCAAAGCAGTGCAATAAAGCATTCAGAGAAATGGTGCAAAGAAAAATAGAAAACTTACAGGACTATGACAAAGCAAGTTTCCAAAAATTTTTGGGCTTGAATGAGAATGGTTTGGTTTATCCAACAGAATTTACACAACTATGATAGTTTACCTATATTACATAATGTTCCAGTCCACCCAGCAGCACAATTGCATTGGAAAGAGCCTTGTAAATTGACACAGGCAGCTCCGTTCAAACAAGGATTAGTAGAACATTCATTAACATCTGGAAAAATATAAGAACAACATAAAACACATTACAAGGAAAACAATGGAGTTTAGATGAAAAACAGGAGTGGTTTGGTTTATCCAACGGAATCTACACAATTATAATAGTTTACCTATATTACATAATGTTCCGCTCCAGCCAGCAGCACAATTGCATTCGAAAGAGCCTTGTAAATTGACACAGACAGCTCCGTTCAAACAAGGATTTGTAAGAGAACATTCATTAACATCTGGAAAAATATAAGAACAACATAAAACACATACGTTACAAGGAAAACATCGGAATTTAGATGAAAAACGGGAGTGGTTTGGTTTATCCAACGGATTCTACGCAAATATAATAGTTTACCTGTATTACATAATGTTCCGCTCCAGCCAGCCGCACAATTGCATTCGAAAGAGCCTTGTAAATTGACACAGGTGGCTCCATTCAAACAAGGATTAGTGGGAGAACATTCATTAACATCTGGAAAAACATAATAACAAAAAAAAACACATATGATACAAGCAAAACAATGGAACGTAGATGAAAAAATGGAGGGGTTTTGTTCATCCGATTGGGTTTACACAACTATGATAGTTTACCTGTATTACATAATGTTCCACTCCAGCCACCAACACAAATGCATTGGAAAGAGCCTTGTAAATTGATGCAGGCGGCTCCATTTAAACAAGGATTAGTAGGAGAACACTCATTAACATCTACAAAAATATAAGAACAAAAAAACATGTACAATACGGGAAAAATAACAGAATGTAGATAAAAAATGGGAGTAGTTCAAACAAGGATTTGTAGAACATTCATTAACATCTGGAAAAATATAAGAACAACATAAAACACATACGTTACAAGGAAAACATCGGAATTTAGATGAAAAACGGGAGTGGTTTGGTTTATCCAACGGATTCTACGCAACTATAATAGTTTACCTGTATTACATAATGTTCCGCTCCAGCCAGCCGCACAATTGCATTCGAAAGAGCCTTGTAAATTGACACAGATGGCTCCATTTAAACAAGGATTAGTAGGAGAACATTCATTAATATCTACAAAAATATAAGAACAAAAAAACATGTACAATACAAGAAAAATAACAGAATGTAGATAAAAAATGAGAGTGCTTTGGCTTACCCAACGGAATCTACACAACTATAATAGTTTACCTATATTACATAATGTTCCAGTCCAGCCACCAACACAATTGCATTTGAAAGAGCCTTGTAAATTGATGCAGGCAGCTCCATTTAAACAAGGATTAGTAGAACATTCATTAACATCTGGAAAAATATAAGAACAAAAAAAACACAAGACATACAATACAAGCAAAACAATGGAACGTAGATGAAAAAATGGAGTGGTTTGTTCATCCGATTGGGTTTACACAACTATAATAGTTTACCTATATTACATAATGTTCCAGTCCAGCCACCAGCACAATTGCATTGGAAAGAGCTTTGTAAATTGATGCAGGCAGCTCCATTTAAACAAGGATTAGTAGGAGAACATTCATTAACATCTGGAAAAATATAAGAACAACATAACAGATACAATACAAGGAAAATGTTTTAGCATAGTATTTAGAAAGTAAAACAAAAGCAACATGAACTGTTAAAAATAAAATAAATCTTACCTAATTCACAATTGGTTCCAGTATACCCAGGTGGACATTCACAGATGTAAGCATTTACTAAATCAGTACAGGTGGCTCCATTCGAACAAGGCAATGCTGCACAATTATCAATATCTGTAGTGTGGAAAGATAATAAAAATCACACAAGGAAACAATAAACAATTAAAAAAGACCAAGATTTAAAATATTTACTGACAACCTCCTTTGAACACTAACAGTAACAAATGAAAGTATATTTAAAGTAGGTCTTTCTGTGCTACACCAATTTAGTACTACAGTAGAACCCATATTAAAAGGACACTGTCGAAAGTGTCCCCTTCATAGGGGTGTCCCCTGAATAGAGGTTGGCAAAGTGTTAACAGATGAACTTTTTTTGTTTCTTGATCAAAATGTGTCCCCTTAATTGGGGTGTCCAAAAGGGGTTCTAATGTATAATAGTCAGAAAAAAATAATTACTGTGACTGACAATAAAACAATAAATATGGGTCGCATATTGCAAGAACTCATTCAACACAGTTAGGATAAGTAATGAGGTATTTTAAATACATATATATATATAGAACAGAAAAAAATAATATTTTCAATAAGTACAAAATAGTACACAATTACTTACAAAATTTATGTCATTATCTTACTATTTTTAAGTATGTTATTAGCTTCCAACAGAAAATTATAACAAAAACATATTTAGCTTGCCAAATAATGGTCACATAGTAATAGTTTTGTGAATTATGATGTATATTTTACTTGTTTCACATAATGTTCCACTCCAGCCAGCCAAACAATTGCACTGGAAAGAGCCTTGTAAATTTATACAGGCTCCATTGATACATGGATCAGACAAACATTCATCTTCATCTGCAAAAATGTAGAAAACAAAACAGAAAACACAATAAATAGTTTAGCAAAATGGTTAAGAAATCACAAAAAAAAAAGTGCTAGAGAAAAAGTTTACTAAAACGAAAAAAACAAAAAAAAAACAACAAAAAAAACAACAAAAAAAATTAAAAGAAATAGAAGACATGTGGGCAGGAATGACAAACGAATCATTTATTTTATTGAGCCCTCAATCTTCATTTAACATACCACATGTAATATTAGGTGCACTGTGATCCTAGGTAGGCAACTGATATACATGTACAATGTTACAAGAGTAAAGCTACAATTTGTACATAGCTAAAAGACGCTGTCGCAAGATGCTATCATAACCTCAAACAACAAGCACCTAAAACATTGTCTTTCTATCATTTTCAACAAATAACTCTTATCAGATTCACAAGTGGTAAAAGTTATAAATACTAATAGGCCTATAAAACAATATTTTGTCATCATCCATTTTATGATTTTTTTTTGTAAATTAGTGTAAAGCGCATAGGGACAGTGCAATGTAAGTGTCAATTTATTATTTCCAGTACAGTAATTAGAAATGTAACTCACCAATTTCACAATTTGGGCCGCTGAAACCTTGGGCACAAGTACAAATGTAACTACCAGGTGTGTTTTGGCACGTCCCACCAAACTGACAAATGTTACCGGCGCATTCATCAACATCTAAAATACACACACTCAATTTAATTATATGTATTCATAGTTAAGTCACAGATCCTATATACAAGACCTGTGGTTATAAGATAACCGTTTGATAAAACTCATTTTGAATGCACAATCAGTGAAATCACAGATCTTATTACATACAGTAGAATCTGTGGTGCAATACAAGCCATGCACTAAGCAGGTCATGTGATCTGATATGCAGTTTTTGATTGGATACTTGTGCTCAGAAAATAGAAACAAAGAAGAGTGCTGACACACAAAGATTAAGGCTGAAAAACTTGGCAGAAGAAATATATATTGAAATGAAATGATGGCAAAGCTCTTAAATAGATGCTGTTGCAAAGACAAAAATAATTTTTGATCATCTTAAAATATCAATGATAGACTCCATGTTACTATCAGATAATGAGGGAGTTTTACCTCTCCTTGCAATAATGTCAAATTAGAATTGTCCTTAAAAAGGGAAAATCTGAAGCTGCAGCCTTCCTCATTTTCTGTGTGTTCAAAATCATATAAATTATTATATTTTTTTCTATTGATTAAGTACATAACAATTAACAGTTAACCTTTGACCGGCTTTATGAAGCAATATCAAATAGTCAGCTGGTAACTTACCACATACAAAAGGTACATATAATTACAATAAATCATTGAATCTACATTAGTCATGTTTTTTTGTTATTTTTTAGCGCATCACAGACAATAAAATTAGCACTAAAGTTTTAGGAAAAAAACTAATTGTTCTATACTAATTTACTAAAGATTAGAAGGTTAATTATATACTAAATAGTATTAGTATTTAGTATTAGATACTAAATTAAAATCAAAATATTAGTTATAAAACACCAAACTAAAGTCTACAACAAAACCTAAATAGTAAATTACAAGTACATGCAAACATAACAATTTCAATTTAATTCTAATACAAAGGTCCGCTGCCATTGTTTTTCACACTTATTTTATAAATAGCCTGCTTTTACCGTAAATTAGTTTCTTGAGAATAAGCCCAAGAAAATAAATTAAAGTTAATCATCATACTGAGGTAAGCTTTTTTAATGATCTAAACAATGTTGGACGGCAAGATTTGTACTCCCTTCCCCACTGTGAAGTTTCTTCATAGACATGACAGGTTCTGGTAATTAAGCATCATCAAAAAAGTTGTAGTTATTATAATAAACTACAGTGCTATTTTTTCCATTACTCATCAATTTCATCACAGAAAAAGAACATGTGATAAAACTGATAATTACACAGTCGGTAATCATGCTGACTCAACTCATGCACTAAAAATAACTAATGAAATAAATCTATGGTATTTACAAACAAAATATACTTAAATATATATTGTACATGCATGTGTTATACAAAGTTCGACCAAAAAACCCATGCACAATTAACAATAAAATAATATTACGACAGACTCCAAAAAGATAGTTCATGATATGCTCAACAATTGTACATTATTTTTTATCTATAATAAGAATAATAATTGGAATTTCCATATATGAAATTCACAAGCAAATCTCTTTTCTTGTGCCATACACAAATTGACTGAAAAATTCATATTGTGGCTTTTTTCTCTTGGTACTTTTTGGAGTCTACTATTAATACTATATATTGGTACATTGAGATTCTACAAAACTAAATAACTGTATGTAGCCCTTTACGACTACTCTCTCCAATGTGGGATAATAAAGTTGTATTGTATTGCACAAAATGCACTGAAGTGGACTATAAGTAACAATCTTTAAATGTAACAAACTGTATATCTTTTATGCAAAATTCAGTATTTCTATATTATTTTTATAGGTTTATCACAGAAAACATACAGAAAACATAAAGAGAGAGTTTGTGGAAGATGCAAATTATTGTTTACTACTGTATGTGTCAAAATATTGGTTTGAATAAGAAATGTTGGTTTATCTGCTAAACAAATTTTACCGATAATGATATTTGCATTTAAGTTTAAGTGCATCATTATTCTTGAATAGTTGAATTTTCTTTATTTACTTTTACACCTCAAGGTTATACAAACTTCTGACAGATTTTTTTAAAGCCATGATTAAATAATCACCTTGATCACAGAATGTTCCTTGGATGCCGTTAGGACACAAACAGCGGAAAAAATCAACAAAATCCTCACACGTACCACCATTCTGGCAAGGGCTACTAGCGCACTCATTCACCTCTAGAAAACGTACAATCAATTCAAAGGTACATATACAGTTTTTTTATTAATGTACATCAGTTCTTTCACAAGAAGAAACTTTATTTCAGTGATTATTTGAGACACGTAGCATCAATCGAGTTGATTTAATTTAATACTTTACATTTGACTTTTTTTAGATACCTATAAAGCAATGTTTGCATAGATAACCATGGTACAAAAAAAATCACCTTCAGCACAGACAGTTCCTTGGTAGCCTGGAGCACACGTACATGAATATGCACCGATTAACTCAATGCAAGCTGCGCCATTCTGACATGGTGAACTAGCACACTCTCGCACCTCAATTTCGCAATTCACACCTGACCAACCAAATGGACAAGTGCAGTCATAACGATTGATTCCATCCATGCAAGTCCCACCATTTTGACAAGGAGTGCTACTGCATTCCTGTATTCCTATTGCACAATTAAAGTTAAGATTGATTAATTTTAACTTTTTATGTATTATTTTTGTTAAATCCAGCCTGTAAAAGACCTATAATTACACTCATACAGTTTTAAGTGTTAACTTCTTGCAAATATACATTAGAATTTTTAACCAACAAAAGAACAAATATTATTACACAGTTGTAAAGGTTTTCTGAAATAAAGCCACATTGCATGTACTGGATTAACAATATTATTAAATCGGTAAGAGGTAAAGTAGGAGAATAACCCATAACTTGCAGCGTCATTGTGCTGAAATGCATAGCCGCCAAGAGGGGAAGCTGTAACAGGGGCTTTTTAGTAAATTTTTGTTGTAGGCTGATAGACACAACTCCTGGAAATGCAAACATTCATATCACCTTGATCACAGAATGTTCCTTGGACACCATCAGGACACAAGCATCGAAAAAAATCAACAAAGTCTTCACAGGTACCTCCATTCTGGCAAGGGTTACTACTGCATTCATTTATCTCTACAAAACGTACAATTACAACAAGGATATGGAATTTCAAAACTTTGTCAATAAAACATGTGTGGTACAAATAATTTTAACATACAAAATGGCAGATTTTGTGTTGAAAATAAAATTCAAAAAGCTGAAAATACTATAAATTAAAGTTTTTATCCTTAATGTCATTAACATTTTAAATTAATATCATTAAAATTTAAATCATTATTATTATCAGTATTATTATTATTATTATTATTATTATTTTACTTTCTAAGTCAATTGTGACATCATCATTGTAACTCGCAATGTTTGTGTTTCCGATTCCCAACTGTGCACTAATTTTTTCATTAGTGCACAGTTTGTAGGCCGGCCCTTAGGAATTTTTTCCTTCTATTAATCTAACCTTTGCAACTATTCTAATTACTTATTGTATATTTTTCACCATTAATTTCCACCATCATCTTAATCAAAGCCATCATTATCTGGATTAAATTTTCTAGTATTCATATAAATCACCTTGATCACAATACAGTCCATTAAAACCAGGTACACAGGAACAGTAGTAGCCATTGATAACTTCTCATTTGTTTATGTATGTATACACACATAAAATAAAAAATGAGAAAAATTTACCTGACCTTTTTTAAGAGGGTAAAACCTTGAATTTTGAAGAACTTTAAAAGTCATTAAAAGACATACAAGTCAGGTAAGCTCATCTCCCGCCATCTAGAAATCGAAATTTCTACACACATAATACACACATAAGGCCTATTTACTGTAATAACAATGGGGAAAAATTATCTGACTGTTTTCAAGAGCAGAAAACCTTGAATTTTGAAGAAAAATTAAGTTCTTCAAAATTCAAGGTGTTCCCCTCTTGAAAATTATTATAATGAATCAATGAACCCAGAGAAAGGGACGTTCGAGTTCTTCCCAGGAAAATATTGATTTCTAAATGGTGGACAATGAGATTTCCCGACTTCTGAAGTATTTTTTAATGACTTTAATTTAAAAGACACCTCAGAAGTCGGGAAAGCTCATTTCCCGCCTTCTAGGAATCAAAATTTTCCTGGGGAAGAACCCCCGAACCCCCCTTTCTTTTTGGAATTCATCGATTCATGGAAAATTTGTATGCTACTAATTTTTTTTAAATTGTTATGTATGTATACATACATAAGCCCTATTTACTGTAATAACAATGGAAAAAATTACCTGACCGTTTTCAAGATAGGAAAACCTTGAATTTTGAAGAACATAAAAGTAATTAAAAGACACGTCAGAAGTAGGGAAAGCTCATTTCCCGCCTTCTAGAAATCGAAATTTTCCCGGGGGAGGAATGTTGACCCCCACCACCTAGATTTGATTCCAGATCTGCATGATTCATATTCCCATTCATCTTATAAGCAGTGGCGTAACAGGCGGGCTGACGGAGCTGACGGTTTTTAACGGGCTGACCAAGCCGTCGTACCGGGCTGGGTAAGAAGAGAAAAGAAAGAGGGAGAGGGAGGGAAAGAGAAAGAAGGGGAAAGAAAAAGAAAGGAAAAAGGAAAAGAAAAAGAGAAGAGAAAAATAAAGACAAGAATAAAAAGGAAGATATAATGAACAGATATGGCAATACCCCGGCCTGCAACCCCTTCTCCACTTCAAAAAGTGTCCATAGCGCATTTGATCTAAGCCGCCAGGTATTTTCCGCAGTGGCGTAACCACCAGGGGGACAAGGGGAAAATATCCATCTGTGGAAAGTCTTTCCCCATTGAATGCCCTTTTCACCCAGGAAAGTGCCTGAAAATCTCAAATTTTAAATCGCATATTTTGTTGAGGTAGGCCAATTTCCTCTAAAAATTGCACATTTTAGGGAGGTTTGATCAATTCTGACGAAATTAGTATTAAAAAAACAAAAGTTTTTCGCGCGCATTTTCTAAAGTTAAAGCTTTTGCTTGCTCCTCTTTGCCTTCTATGTTATAACACATAGTCCCAAACTCAAGAAAGAAAATTTAAGATAGATCGTTTTACCTAAAAGAAGGGCCTTGATGTGTAATGATGTTGAAAGAATATGTCTGTAATAAATAAAGCCATAGGGAAAATGCTTATATTCTGTTTAAAAAAACGAGTGTGGCCATATATAACATAAGAGCATTTCTTGTTGAGGTAGGCCAATTTCCTCTAAAAATTGCACATTTTAGGGAGTTTTGATCAATTCCGACGAAATAAGAATTAAAAAAACAAACATTTTTCGTGCGCTTCGCTTGCATTTTTTAATGTTAAAGCTTGAGCTTGCTCTCCTTTGCCTTCTAAGTTATAACACATTGCCCCAAACTCAAGAAAGAAAATTTAAAATAGATCTTTTTACCTAAAAGAAGGGCCTCAATGTGTAATGATGTTGAAAGAATATGTTTGTAATAAATAAAGCCATAAGGAAAATGCTTATATTCCGTTTTAAAAAACGAGTGTGGCCATATATAACATAAGAGCATTTCTTGTTGAGGTAGGCCAATTTCATCTAAAAATTGCACATTTAGGGAGTTTTGATCAATTCCGACGAAATTAGAATTAAAAACACAAGAATCTTTCGTGCGCTTCGCCCACATTTGTTAGGGTTAAAGCTTGTGCTTGTCCTCCAATTGCCTTCTAAGTTATTTAAAAACATAATAGTCCCAAACTTGAGAAAGAAAATTTAAGATAAATCGTTTTACCTAAAAGAAGGGCCTCAATGTGTAATGATGGTGAAAGAATAGGCCTATGAATTGTAATAAATAAAACCACGATGAATATGCTTATATTTAGTTTCAAACACACGTGTGTGCCCTATAATAAAATAAGCCATGTCGTATTGTTTTCTATATGGGAAGGGAGGGGAGGTATCACACCAAGTCATAAATTACCAAACCGGGAAAATTATTACCTTTGCCCCCCCACCCCGACCCAAGACGCACCTGCTTATAAGTGGGGCCCCCCCACTTTGAAAAACGTTCCGTCGGCCCTGGCCATATGCAGGTGACACCCCTATTAAGGGGACACTATTTTGGTCAAGATGGTGCCCCTTAATAAGGGTTCGGCTACCTAGGGGCTATTTGCTCTGTCTCTGTCTGTCATATTATCTCTGTGCTATCCATTTGAAATTCTGTGCTACACATTTGCAAGACTGTCCTACCTTTGAAAAACTGTGCTATCCATTTGAACGTCTGCGCTTTCCATTAAAAAAACTGCGCTAAAACTGCGAAGCGCATTTGAAAAAAAAAAATGTGCTATCCATTTGAAAGTCTATGCTACCCCTTTGCAAGACTGCACTACCTTTAAAAAACTATGTGCTATCCATTTTAAAGTATGTGCTTTCCATTTGAAAAACTGCGCTAAAACTGCGATGCCCATTTGAAAAAGTGTGCTATCCATTTGAAAGTCTGTGCTACCCATTTGAAAGATTGAGGCTTTCCATTTACAAGACTGCACTACCCATTTGAAAAACTGCGATACCAATTTGAAAAACGGCGAGACATATTTTGTAAAACTGTGCTACCCATTTGAAAGTATGTGCTACCCATTTGTAAGACTGTGCTACCCATTTGTAAGACTGTGCTACCCATTTGTAAGACTGTGCCACCCATTTGTAAGACTGTGCTACCCATTTGTAAGACTGTGCTACCCATTTAAAAGAAACTGCAATACCTATTTTGGAAAACTGTACTACCCATTTCAAAGTCTGTGCTAACCATTTTTAAGACTGTGCTATCAATTTACAAGACTGAGCTACCAATTTGAAAAACTGCGATACCAACTGTGCTACCCATTTGTAAGACTGTGCTATCCATTTACAAGACTGCACTACCCATTTGAAAAACTGCGCTACCCAATTGAAAAACTATATACGATACCTATTTTGAAAAACTGTGCTACCCATTTGAAAGTCCGTGCTACCCATTTGTAAGACTTTGCTACCCAATTACAAAAAACTGCGATAGGCCTACCTATTTTGAAAAACTGTGCTACTCATTTGAAAAACTGCGATACCAACTGTGCTACCCATATGAAAGTCTGTGCTACCCATTTGTAAGACTGTGCAATCCATTTACAAGACTGCGCTACCCATTTGGAAGACTGTGATACCCATTTACAAAAAACTGCGATAGGCCTACCTATTTTGAAAAACTGTGCTACCCATTTGAAAAACTGCGATACCAACTGTGCTACCCATTTGAAAGTCTGTGCTACCCATTTGTAAGACTGTGCTATCCATTTACAAGACTGCGCTACCCATTCAGGGCCGCCGAGAACGACCATAGGGTCCGGGGCAGATTTGCTGCCCGGCCTCAACAAGGGAGAGATAACTGTCACTGCCACAAATCACTGAAAATGACAAGATGTTTTCCTTCGACGTTCTATGATATTATGGCTAGTCTATTTAGTTATATTAAAGCAACTGTACCCATTTGAAAAACTGCGCTACCCATTTGAAAAACTGCGCTACCCCAATTGAAAAACTATGATACGGTACCTATTTTGAAAAACTGTGCTAATCATTTGAACAGTGGCGTAGAAAAGTATTTTTCATTGGGGTGGGGGTATGATTGGCGTGTTAGCCAGTGTCGTAACAAGCGGGGGGAGGAGGACTGCCCCTCTCCTGACGGTTCTTACCGGGCTGACCAAGCCGTCGTACGGGGATGGGTAATAAGAGAAAAGAAAGAGGGGTGAGGGAGGGAAAGAGAAAGGAAAAGAAAAGGAAAGAAAAAGAGAAGAGAAAAATAAAGACAAGAATAAGAAGGAATATATCATAATTACCAGACTCACAACACCCTGCAACCCCTTCTCCACTTCAAAAAACTGCCATAACTCCTTTGATCTATGCTGCCCGATGGCGTAACCACTGAGGGACAAGGGGAAAATATCTATCTTTGAAAAAATCTTCCCCACCCCTTTATAAATGCCCTTTTCATTCCCTGAAAGTGCCTAAAAACCTCAAATTTCATTGGCCAATTTCCTCTAAAAATTGCACATTTTAGGGAGTTTTGATCAATTCCAACGAAATTAGAATTAAAAACACTGGGGGACAAGGGGAAAATATCCATCTTTGGAAAATCTTTCCCCGCCTCTTGACAAATGCATCCTCTGAAAGTCCCTAAAATTCTCAAATACTTTGCGCGCATTTCTTGTTACAGTAGGCCAATTTCCTCTATAAATTGCACATTTTAGGGAGTTTTCATCAATTCCGACGAAATTAGAATTAAAAACACAAAAATACTTTGCGTGCTTCGCGTGCATTTTTTAGGGCTATTTTAGGTTTATCCTTTTAAGTTATTTAAACACATAATAGTCCCAAACTCAGGAAAGACATATTTAAGATAGATCGTTTTAACCTAAAAGAAGGGCCTCAATGATGAGGCCCATTGATGGTGAAAGAATATGTTTGTAAAATAAAATGCTTATATTTAGTTTCAAACACACGTGTGTGGCCTATATTATAAATAAGATAAGCCCTATATGTCGTATTGTTTTCTATATGGTGAGTGGGGGTGGGTATGGTAAATTGCTAACCGGGAAAATAAATACCCACTCTGACCCAAGATCCCTGTTACGCGCCTAGTGTTAGCGCCAATGTGTGCCCTTGTGCGGACAGGGGATGTGCCCCCCTCTGAAGCTGGAAAACTTGTTTTTACAAAATAAATTGATGCAATTTGCTATTATAGGCCTAATCATTTAATTTTAGGACATATCGATATTTATTAGGCCTATCCTTTTAAATTTCGTATGACCTAAGGTGTGAGACTACCAAATCCAAAAATACAACGGTCACCCGGGTGCTACGGGTGCACCCCCTTGGATACATTTCCAATGTTTCATCCCGGGAGATGCTGAATTAAAACTCTTTGTTCAAACCACAAACCATACAATGAAGTCAGTAACTCAAAACAATTATTATTTTAAAAATGTATAAATGATGTTAAAAATGCTTCGTAATGTACTATGATGTAATAATAATAATAATAACAAAATTTATCATATTTTTCTATGTTTCCTCTGTTATTATTCTGTGTATTGAGACCCACTCGATAGATTGTCATGATTTACTGTACCTGTAGTTCGCTTTTGGAAATCCTGTCTGTGTTGTTTTTACTTTTACTGAGTTGTTTATGTCGTATTGGAGACGAAACAAATGGAATGAAATATAATGAAGTCCAACTAACAAAAGTTATATAATATTTTTAAATTGAAATCTAAAATCCCGACTCATTATTCTCATTGTTTTTACCATCGTAATATGTTTTTACTCAAGTCAGTCTTCACTCTTGGTACAACCGCTGAGCTTATTCCCAGAATGATAATCGGTATTACAAGTTAATTCATCTGTATTACCGGTACTTTTCTTTGAATAACCGAATGATCCGATTCGCGTAAGATGTCCACATAGGTTTCGGTATACTGTACAAAATACAATGCCACTGTGTACAATAAAGATATCTTAGCCTGGTTACGTAACACCTAACTAATCCTTCTAATGGGTCACAGTATTGCCAGTTTGTTTATTTCCCACCAATTAAAATATTAGACTAGAAATTGCAAATTGCAAGTGAAGTGCTGCGAAGTACAACTGCATAAAATGTTCTTCGAACACAATTATTTATGCGAGTCAAGTGAAAATAATGAATAATAAAAATATAACAAATAATATGAGCACGACCCATTGTCTATATTAGAACAGCGTTGGTACCGTGTACAATAGTGTTTTGCTGCAGTGACATCTCTCTGCTGCCGACTCGCTGCTGCTGGCGATATCTTGCTGCTGGCGAATCGATCTGCGCATGTGTATAAAATGGTATTTATTGCCGAAAACACTATGCCAGTCTACAACAAGCGTCGCCTAAATGTAATAATTAGCACGTTGAAATAGGCTAGTAAATAAGTTTAACTGGGTTCGTAAATAATATTGGCCTCAAAATATTGTGGCTGAGACATGAGCCGATTAAACGGAGAAATAGGAAACCTAGAAATATAGTAAAAACGCTGAATAGTACTCCAGCGTCGCGACATGCCGACGTTGGTACGAGTAGGTTAGTCTACAAACGTCGCCTAAAGTAATTGATTTTACCCGGCAGAACGAAAGAAGGAAACCCCGCTTTTCAGTTGTCTTGGGCGACTGTTTTTTGACAAACAATGACCTTTCAGAGGTCAAATTGCTGTCAAGAATATGAATTGGCTGATTCGCAGCAACTTTTCGATTTATTTTTTTTTATAATCCTCCTTGTTAACTTATAACTATAATTAATTAGCAATCTCTTATTTGAAGTTAAATTTCTTAATTTTATATATTTCGTGGATTCATTGAATATAATATACTATAGTAATTAATTAATTATTTTGAATAAACCAATATATTACTCAACAACAATCAAATAAAAAAATATGTAGGGTTAAATTTTAGGTAATGTATATTTTTTACTCTTCGCATATCGGACCGAGTATGATGTACTATGTTGAAAGTTTAAAATAAATCATTTTTACCTTGAGTGTACCGTACTCGTGTTGTTTGTGTTTTTCTATCTTAAAAAAATAATTAACAACTGTAAGCTTTAACTTCGAGATATTAGATTTTGATTTATTTTATATTGTGGAGCAGAGCCGTCTTTATTTTTATACACTAGAGAAAAACAGACATACAGATACCTTTTTTTTAAAATAAAAGGTATCAAAACTTCTTTCCATTTACCTACTTTAAATAATGATTGTGATTTACAATCGCTTACAATAATACCTATTCATCCAATCTATTCATTGAATAAAATAATGTGAATAATAAAAATCCTGTTATTAACTGTAATATTTAGTTTCCCAATGCTATATTGCGGGTGAGTTGGCTGTTTGCAATTTATTACAGAACATGCAGATTTTTAAGCAAGAAAATCGACGGTCTATACAGGTCTACTTAAATAACCTGTTATATAACACCTCGTAATCAGAGAAGGATAAGGCTACACAGATGAAGGCCACTTAATTGCTGACCAGCTGATAGCGTCATGATTTCAACTTCGTGCTTATTGGTCAAAGAGTGAACTACGTCACGGATTGCAGGACAATGCATTATTGACCAGATGACAACTTCATGATGTCAACTTCGCGTTTATTGATCAATGAGCTTTTGGACAAACACTCCCAATCACCTTGAAAGCAACAGTGCTAAATCGGTTTTTAATAGGTAACAAGCACATCTGTAGAGCTGCTAATCTTTCTAAACCGCTCCTAGAGCGGTAACCTAACGTTAGTTTATCGAGGGCGGGTCGAGCTAATGTATTGTCTATATCAAGTTCAATAATAATACTCTCAGCAACATGTAATATCTGGGATAAGTCATTTCTTAGTCGATATGATAAATTGGATTTGGTATATAGGGCAACACTACCACCTCCTTTGTTATCCCTATTGTTATACAGTATATAGCTGTATAATTATTCAATTGATATAATCCACTGAGCCATTTCTCAGTCAATCCAATTATCGAAAATTTGTAGGTCATGTTTGCAGATGACCTCAAGATATATAAAATAATTTCCAGCATTGAGGACTCGCATGCACTCCAGGCCAACCTTGACAAACTCGGACATTGGGTTACCAATTGGAAAATGTCGCTGAAGTCTGAGAAATGCAAAGTACTCTCTTGTACACTTAAAACTAAACTAATTAATTTTAAATACATGATTTCTAACGAGGTACTTGAAAATGTTGAATGGCATAGAGACTTAGGCATTTTTATTGACAAAAAACTAACGTTTGCTTTTCATGTTGACCATGTCGTTGGCAAGGCCAACAGGTTACTTGGGCTCATGTGGCACAATTGTCATAAATTTCCTCCAACCAAACAAATTGCACTTTATAAATCCCTTATCCAACCTTTATTTGATTTTTGTTCAGTTATCTATAATTCCATCCACTATCATCTAGAATTGAAAGAATCCACGGTAAGTTTTTACGTTTTGTCGGCCCAGAAACCTGTTGGCCTTGCCAAACTCCTAATATTTCTCCAAAGATTAAAAGACAAATTAATGACCTACTTTTTTTTATAAAAGTGTTTAAATTCAATGTTTACCTGTAATATTGTTTCTAATTTCTATCTTAATGTCCCTGTTGGTAGACTTCGTTCTAAGCCTATTTTAAATGTACAATTCTCACGTGTTAATGTTTGTAAAAATGGTATTTTTTGTAGACTGTCTTTGTTTTATAATAATTGTGTTTGTAATAATCCTGAATTTGATATTTTTCATTGTAGTTTCTCTAAGTAAAGTCTATCACATTTGAGTCTGTAAAATAACTTTAGGTTTTCCATTGATATTGTGTAAGTTTTTATATTTTATATTTTCATCCTGTAATTGGTGTATACACTGTTGGATGTGCAATAAATAAATAAATTTATAAAGTAATCAAATCGAGATAAGTAATTTGTTAATTTGTCAAATTTTCTTATAATGCTTCTGCAACTTAGAGAAAAGATTTTAAAATAACCGGAGTCGCCCAGGTCATCGCAATGTTTGGTTTTGAAATCGTCAATATCCATGTATTTGTTTTTGGTATAAATTGGTATAATTATACCGAAGCTGTCATCATCATTATTTAATTGTGTAACAATACATTTAATACAATAAGTAAAAGAAAGAAAGATAAATGATAAAATTAAATAAATAGTCTAGTACATACCACTGTCACATGTGTCTCCCTTCCAACCAGGTGAACACTGACATTCAAAGCGATTCTGGAGGTTGAAGCAATTCCCACCATTCCGACATGGTGCACTGAGACACTCATTCACATCTAGCAAAAATATCAAAATATACATTAATATACTATAATCTGAATACAGTATATGTAAAAAATATACAAAATATAGATGCTGTAGTGACCTACAAATTTAGCAGGGCTGGAAAAAGTGCACAGCCACATGACCAGTGATAGGAGGCATCAAGAATGTCTTAGAGGCATTTTGGAGGGAAAAATAAAAAAAAACAACTTTTGGGCTATATAGTGTACAGATAACATCGGAGGCATTTTATCGACACAGTTTTCATGGTTGGAGGGACAATATTTTCTTGGCCTGACGCTGGCTACCAACACTTTGGCCTTTTTACAATATTAGGATAAAAAAAAATATCACATATTTCATCACTTCTGGCAGTTACAATCATGTTACATACACATTCAGATTATTTTTAGCATGAAATACATCGAACATTCAGAGATAAAACGGTAAAAATGATATAAAAACCAACGAAACAGGAAATAATCAAGCTCCATGTATTAAAAACCTATAGAATAATGTAAGCTATCAAACTTTTTAGGAACTTCAAAGTATTTTATTTTTAATTTTATGAGCAATATGCAATAAAGTGTTTCTAACCAACTGTACAGGTTTCCCCTGTCCATCCGTTGATACATTGACAAGAGAATTCATTGATGAGATTGGTACAATGGCCATTGTTTTGACAAGGAAATGATTGACACTCATCAACATCTATAAAGAAAAATATTATTAATAAAATTAAATCCTTTATGTTCTTCATTTAATAATTTATGCATTAAACATTAAAAAAATACAAATAAGATTAAATGCAGAATAAACAATTAATAACCGGAAAAAACCTCCTCAACTAGACACCCAGTATTTCTGATTCTAATCTTCCAGGCTAAAAAAAGTGATGTAAACTAAATGGTAAAAACTATCCCCACCAGATAGCATTCCCAGTATTTCGTAAAGGTTTAGAGCTAGAAATAGAAATGCTGTATACCATCCTTATATTACTATTAATTCCCGGGTTGCTGGAAAACAACATATATACAGTACAGCATATTGCCATAAGATTTTGGGGTTTCTTTGAACCAGAACAAAGCTTGGTAATAACTATTATTTGCCTTCGCAAAATGACCCAAAGTATCCAGCAGGGCAAATGCATTGGAATGATGTGTCCACATTCATACAGATGCCTCCATTTTGGCAAGGGTTATTTCCACAAGGATCTACAACTGAAATTGTGATTATTTAAAAAGTTATGACAAGTATCAAATGAAGGTTTATCCAAATTTTTGTCTTATTCTAGTATTTATTGTATTTGGGAAAAACTGAAAAAATCTCATTTGATGGCTCTTAATCTAGATGTGAAATTATTGGCAACGGTTCAGAGAAATAAAGAAGTTTAAAGATATCTGTCTGCCTATAGTAGAATCTGGAAAACACATCATAAATTAAATTGAAATATTAAATTGTTCATTAAAAAAGGATCAATGTTTAGTGAGTACTAACAGATTATACTTAGGACTCTCATTAGCACACTGGGAACCTGCAACTTATCTATCACTACTGGAAGTTAGGTAAAATGTTTGGTAATAACTATATACTACTTACCTTCACAAAGTGACCCAAAGTAACCAGCAGGACATACACATTGGAATGATGTTTGCATATTCACACATGTGCCTCCGTTTTGACAGGGGTTAATTTCACAAAGATTTACAGCTGAAATTATGATCATTTAAAAAGTTATGATGAAAGTATCAAATAAAGGTTTCT